TTTTCAACGGAAGAAATAAATAATTTACATTTTTCAGTCAGGCAGGAGTGAAAAAAAAAATCAATTCATTTTTGTTTTTTATTGTCTATTTCTAGAAGCACTGCCTGTAAAATGAGTTTCTATGAGAAGATTGAGGAGAAGGAGGATGCTAAAGCAATATCTCCAGAACACAGCTGTGTGTCTATGAAGAGTAACAGATCCATGCTGAGCCCCCCTGAATTCAGTGATGAAGCAGTGACCTCTGACCCTGAGTGAGTATAAATGTAATAAACAACGATGTTGTACAAGGAAAACATCCTGCTTGGTAAACCATGTTCTGCATTATATGTCCATCATCTATATCATCTACCCCTCAGGTGTCTGCAGTGTATCATTCAACTACAGTATGTATGAAACAGTATCAGTCATAGAAATGTAAGGCTGTTTCACTACCGTGGTTCAGGCTATAGGATTGCCAAATGACTGACAAACTTTATTAGAATGATGGGATAAATCAGTGTGTTCCTCGTCTAACACCAGACCCTGATACACCAATGACCGAATAGCAAAATATGTGGCAGAGCATTTCTGGAATGTGACTGTTATATTGAAATGGGCAGTACTTCAGTGTTATTATTGAATTAAAACTAGTTTGCATATACTTTGTAATTGACTTTGAAAAGTGTTGACTTAAGATTACAATTAAAATGGTTGCAAAAAATAGATAAAATGATAAAACGTGTACAGTTAATTGTACCCAGAATGTATAAAGCAAAAAAGAAAGAGAGAAACAGAGTAGAAGAAAGAAAGTGTAGCTTTTGATGCCTCTGAGGACTTGAGTCTGGCCTAAGGCCTTTAACCTTTGTCCAGGAAAGCAGAAAGGGCAAGGAGAAGAGAAAGGCACCTGAGAAAAGAGAGCTAGAAATAAAATGGCAGAACATCAGTTATACTTTGCCTGCCTGAACTGACACTTCTGTGTGAATATATGGTATAATTTCACATTAGAGTTTCATAGTTTAGTGTGCAGGAACATTTAAATGATTTTCTCTATTTTAATACATGTTTACAGGTTTTTCTGTTCATCTCTCTGTTTCTGCAGAGTGAAGAGAGATTATGTGATCAGATCAGTGACGCCCCGTCTGACCCGCACTGGCTCCAACTCTCAGACACTTATCAGGCAGAGAGTCCAATACCAGCACAAAACTAGCATGAAGAACAAGCATGAAAGATTATTTGAAGGAATCAAACTACAGGAAAATCAAACCCTCCTGAACAGGATCTACACACAGCTCTACATCATAGAGGGAGAGAGTGAAGGAGTGAATGAAGAACATGAGGTTTTACAGATGGAGAAAACACCCAGAACACAACACACTCCAATCTACTGCAATGACATCTTCAAACCCTTACATCAACCAGGATGTGAGGAGAAAGACAAAATCAAGACTGTTCTTACTAAAGGCATCGCT